ATCCTTCTGCCTCAGCCTCTCAAGTACAGGGATTACAGGTGTGTACCACCACATCATCCTAGTTACTCTGAAATAACCAATAGATTATGTAAACCAAGAGGAAATGTTTTAAATTTCTTGAAAAAATGAAAATGGAAATACAGCACTTCAAAAACCAGAAAGATATCAAAACACAACTTAAGTTACATTTTAAGGAACTAGAAACGGAACAAACCAGACCGTAGGTTAGGAGAAAATAATAACAAAGATCCCAGCAAAAGTAAATAAGCAAAAATAAAAATGCAAGAGAAGCCGGGCGGTGGTGGCGCACGCCTTTAATCCCAGCACTCGGGAGGCAGAGCCAGGCGGATCTCTCTGAGTTCAAGGCCAGCCTGGGCTACAGAGCGTAATCCAGGAAAAGCCGCAAAGCTACACAGAGAAACCCTGTCTCGGAAATAAATAAGTAAATAAATAAATGCAAGAGAAACTAAAGCTACAACAGTCATAGTTCTTCTAAAAAATACATCTGATAAATGCTTAGCCAGAGATAAAAATGGAGACCCCTGGGTGTGGTGGCACATGCCTTTAATCCCAGCACTCAGAGGCAGAAAGCAGGCAAATCCAGGCCAGCCTGGTCTACATATCAAGCTGCAAGACAGCCAGGGTTACATAACAGAGGGACCCTATCTCAATAGAATGAAAAAAAAAAAAAGGCTAGCCTGAGCTACAGAATGAGACTTGAAAGGAAAGTCCAGAAGGCAAGTGAGTGGGATGGCTCCGTGGGTGAGGGTGCTTCCCACACGCCTGGGGCCTGAGTTCAATTCCGAGGACAATGTGGTAGAAGAGAGAAGCAATCCCGGGTTTACTCACATATACAAGTGTGATGTACGGGGAGGCACCTTACTAAGCTTTGGGACGCACGTCCCAGCACTTGAGAGGCCAAGGCACGAAGACTGCGAGCTCCAGGTTAACCTGGCTATTAGAGTAAGCATGAGGCCGCTGGGTTACTCAGTAAGATGCCATCTTAGAAAGAAAACAAAATAGCAGTGAAAAGGGAGATTACAACGGCCATCCCAGGAATACAGTCGTCACCAGGAATGACCATGAACACCTATACAACAACTGTTAGGAAAAACACAGAGTCCTGAAGAAACCAGTAACAAGCAAGGAGACTAAATCAGTTTCCCAAATCCTTTCTTCAGTCCTCTCGAAGATAAGGACAGGGCCAGATAGCTTCCCTGCTGAATTCAACTAAAACATTTACAGCATATACCAAATTTGTTTAAGTTAGTACAAAAAAAAAATCAAAGAATTCTTCCAAAGATATTCTATGTCGTCAGTACTATTGCAACACCAAAAGTAAATAAGAATACAACCACAAAAGAAAACTATGGGCAAGCATCTTTGACAAATCCAGATGCAAAAATCCTCAACAGACTACTAGCCAACTGAGCAAGGGGTATGGGTTACTGACACGGTGTTTGCTTAAGCTAGGTCCCCAGTACCACGAAACAGTAACTACGACATCAACAACAAAGCACCTTAGAAGTCTCACCTACAGAACTCAGGGAGAGAAGAGGACTGCCCTGAGTTGGAGGCTAATCTGGGCTACACAGAGCTCCAGGACAGCCTGGACTACAAAGTGAGAAGAAACAGCAACAATCAATAAATGTAATGCAACCAACCATGTGATCATCTCAACAGATACAAAAGAAAAAAAAAGATTTTTATGAAACTTTGTAACCCTTTGGGATAGGGCTTTCAAGGACCAGAAGGAACATACTTAAACACATAAGGCCATACCCAAAAATACAACAGCTAGTTTTCTGATGAGGAAGAACCAAGAACTTTCTCTCTAAACATCTCAAACAAGGGGAAAAGTTCCTTTCACTCTTTACTCAATGAAGTGCTGCAAGTGCCGTACAGAGTAGTGCGGGAAGAGGAAGAAACACCGTGCACAGCAGAGAGGAAGTCAGATTGTCACTGTCAGTAGATGACATGCTCTTACACATGGAAACCAGATGGCTCTGCCAGAAAACCTGAAAACCTGGCTAACACTAAGTGAGAAATGCAACAGTTTCAGGACAGGCCATCAACAGATAAAACCCACCAGTACTGCCTCAGGCCAAGAGCAGCAAGCTCTTTAAAACAGCATCAGGAAAGCGACCACATTTACAACAGTCACCAAAACAAACACAACCCCACAATACTGATGCATACATTCAACCAGAAAAGTGAAAGTTCTACAATAAAAACTATACAACACTGGTTAAATGAAGCAGGTGCATACAGCTCAGTGATAAAACATGGGCTCAGAATGTATGATATTTTGGTTCAATTCCCAGTACCAAAATAATTTTTTAAATTATATATATATTATATATATGTAGGTACCTAATGCAAATTAATAAAGTACAATAGACAGAAGTTTACATATATATATATATATATATATATATATATATATATATATGTATGTATGTATGTCATGCACATGGGGGTGTGTGGGGGGGTGTCCAGACATACACACATACACTTTTTTTTTAAGATATGATTCCAAGCTGGTGTCAAACTGAGCCTTGGCTTGACCTGCAACTTCTGGGCCACCAGCCTCCACTGAGACTGCAGGTGTGTGTGATCATGTCCACTTTTATTCACTGCGGGAACCGAACCCAGGGCTTCATGTATGCTAGGCAAGCACCTGCACCAACCGGGCTGCACCCCAAGTCCTGAAGAAACAACACACACTGGCCATACGTCCAGTCATCTTGCTAAACTTAATCCATAATTCTAACAGCTCAACTGTGGTGTGGTCTTTACATTTTATATGTGCATATTAATGTAAATGAGTCAACTGTGATAGGTTTGCACATTCACCTTAATCCCTTCTTTTTTTTTTTTTGGTTTTTTGAGACAGGGATTCTCTGTGTAGTTTTGTTGTCTTTCCTGGATCTCGCTCTGTAGACCAGGCTGGCCTCGAACTCAGAGAGATCCGCCTGGCTCTGCCTCCCAAGTGCTGGGATTAAAGGCGTGCGCCACCACCGCCCGGCAATCCCTTATTTCTTTTTCTTGCTGGGCATTAACTCAGATCTGCAGAATTGTGTATAGCCCAAGGTCATGGGCAGAGCAAATACCACTACACAATTACATGACCTCTAATAAGGAGCTGGAGAAGGGTCACATGCCCCTTCTCCCTGCTCCTGCCTGTGAGGTGGATTGGCTCCTGGTCAGATCAGAGGACAAGTTCAGCTGTCTACTCTGTTCTGTAATTGTGGGTGTATTTCCTCAATTTTTTTTTTTTTTTTTTGGTTTTTCGAGACAGGGTTTCTCTGTGTAGCTTTGCGCCTTTCCTGGAACTCACTTGGTAGCCCAGGCTGGCCTCGAACTCAGAGAGATCCGCCTGGCTCTGCCTCCCGAGTGCTGGGATTAAAGGCGTGCACCACTACCGCCCGGCGTATTTCCTCAATTTATAATTCTCACAGTTATGAGAGAGGCCTTGAGTTCAAGCACAGCCGAGGCTATAGAGACTGAAGGCAAAACAAGAATAGCCTTCTCTGTATAAATCTTAGTCACGAACACACACACACACACACACACACACACACCCCAGTCTACTTACACACACACACACACACACACACACACACACACCAGTCTACTTACACACACACACACACACACACACACACACACACACACACACACACACACACCAGTCTACTTGTAATCATTAAAATTCTGCAGACAACTTTTCATGCTTCCATCTAATGTTCCTACTGAACTCCTTGCAGTTAAGACCCTTACTTATGTTCAGCCCCAGGACTTACCATTATGCATGAAACAATAAGCTGACCCCACTCGATTGCAGAAAACTGTTTATTGCATGTGGATGCCACTTTAATAAGCTGTCTGGTACCATATTTACATATCATATAAAGCAAACATTCAATGTTGTTTAATTTATGAAGAGTTGTAAATCAAGGAAAAAGCCAGGGACAAAAGATAATGTATTTCCAGAATCATAGGGTGGCATCTCACAGGGAAAAAAAACAAAAAACATTTTCCACCCAAGTGACTTCTAAAATATACCTGCTTTGTATGCTTTTCTACATTGGTATAATGACACCAGTATGTCTTAGAGAAGTAAGTTAGATACTTGCCACCTTAGAATGAAAACAAAACATGAAAAGCTTTCAAATACTTTGAATAAATTGTAGTTAAGCTTCAAATATACTGGTAATATGCTTAGCAACATCTAATATCCTTTTCTAATACTGAATATTATCTAGCAAAAACTCACATCTCCATAAAGAAATGGTTACTTTAGCATTTTATAACTACAAGCTTACTACATATGTTTATTACTACCCAAGAGTAATTTTGCTAAATACTAGCTGAAGAATAACTAACCACATCATATACTTTATTTTAAAAAAAAGTATCTATATTCATAAGGGCCATAAAAATCACCAATGATTACTCTGTTACCACGTGTTTTTTTGTTTTGTTTTGGTTTTTGGTTTTTCAAGACAAAGTTTCTCTGTGTAGCTTTGAAGCCTGTCCTGGAACTCACTCTGTAGACCAGGCTGGCCTCGAACTCACAGAGATCCGCCTGCCTCTGCCTCCCGAGTGCTGGGATTAAGGGCATGTGCCACCACCAGCTGGCACCAAGCGTTTAAGATAAAATCTTTACTAGCAAAAATTCCTTGCTTGTGGTTGAGGATATAGCTCAGAGAGAGGGGGGGAAAGGAGGGGGGAAGCGGGGGTCCTTGATCACCACACCTGGGAGGCAGAAGCAGGAGACGTTGAGTCCTAGGCCAGCCACCCAGGGTTACAGAGTAGACCAAGTCTTAAACAATAAGCAAGAAAAGAAAACAATTTGATTACTGAATTAATCCTGTATTTACTGAGTTACTATATCCACTTGGGAATATATGAAAACTAAATATTTGAAGTTTCTTGTAAAACAATAAAGGCAGCAATCACAATATCTGGCATTTGTGACTGATTTTATTTTTTACCTTATTTGGTGACTTCAAAGGTGAGATGGCTATCTTATTTGGTGTCTGTGTTGTAGAATTTAAAGTCGATCCAATAACGCCACTTTCCGATATTGTTATGGTCTTTGATGGAGTTCCAGGGGTAGACTGTGAAAGAACCCTACCTGCAAATGAGAGGCAGCCCATCAGTTGATGGATTTAGTAATAGTTATAAACACTTACATGATGATAACCTACATATACAAGGGCTTTAGTTTCACATATACCAATATATGACTTTAGAGACATTAGTGAGACCCTAATGAACTCCAGTGAACCTAAGGATTACCTAAGAACACGCTCCGAAACACAGTTAAGCTATATCCATCAGAGAGCGAGCTGGAGACAACTCAGGACTTATGCCCTGAGTCTGCTTCTGAACAACTTTACCTGTCCTATGGCTGTCTTCCTATTTGAACTTTACCTGTACCACGGCTGTCTTCCTATTTGAACTTAAATCATGCAGGGCAAAATTAAGATCCACAGTTCTGCTGGCACGCAGCTTGGTTGGCAGAGTGCTTGCCAAGCATGCAGGAAGCCATGGATCTCTCCCTAGAACCTCATAATCCAGGAAAGATGGGACACTACTGGGAAGGCAGAGATCTGAGGATCAAGGTCATTCTCGGCTACATAGAAATAAATTAGCCAGGAATACATCAGACTCAAAAAACAAAAACAAAACTCATACAGACACTTAAAAAAAAAAAAAGATACTGGGGGCCAGAGAGATGGCTCAGTTGTGAACAGTACTTGCTACTCTTTCAGAGGACCAGGGTCAGAGCCCAATACCCACATCAAGTGGCTCACAACTCCCTGTAACTTCAGCTCTATGGGACCCGATGCTCTCCCTCTTCTGGCCTCTGAAGGTACCCACACAAATATGACAACACACACATAAATAAATAAATAAATAAATAAATAAATAAATAAATAAATAAATAAATAAATAAATAAATAAATAAATAAATAGAATAAAATAAAATAAAATAAAATAAAATAAAATAAAAGCTATAATTGAATGGACAAACCTGGACACTGATTTTAGAGCAGCAAAAGGGAAGGAAAAATTTCATCTAGCTGCCCTGGCCAGATCCCACACTTCGCTCTGTCTTGGATAATAACTCTTCTGAAACAACCCTGAGGAAATGCAAGGTGTCTGGATGACTTAGGGAACTGGAAGTCATATTTCAATAGTGAAATATCAGGAAGTTTTATCCTGGGTGAGAAGAGAATACAAAGCCATTCTAGACCTCTAGTTCCAAAGGTCTGATCCTCTTTTTCCCTCACTTGCCTTCACCTATGGTCAGCCCCAGCCCTGGAGCTCTGAACTCCTGAAGGAGTCCGTGGAATAATCATTGCTGCTGCTCACCAAGGATTCTGATTCTTCCATCTGGAGCACACTGTACTTGCACCTCTGACCTGATGCCCTTTCCAGTCTTGAGGTTAATTAGGGTCATGTGACTACCACTGGCAACTGAGTTATGAATAAACTGGGAATGTCATTTGTGGGCCAGAACGGCCCGACACAAGCCCTTCTGGAGCCCTTTCCTCCGCTGTGTCTGAGGTGGTAGCGACCATGAGAAGAGTCTTCTGAACTACAAATGGACATTCAGATAATTCTGAAGTATGAATAATTAAAAAAAAACTTTTCTTTGAAACAATTTGGAGATCATTTTGGAGGAAAATCAAGATTATCCTGACTGACTCAAGCTACCAGGTTGAAGAATCAAAATCAACTGGCCACATGAAATGAATAGAAGTAGGAAGAAAAAAAAAAGCCATTAAGCCCAGTACTATGAAAGAACTTCTGACAAAAGATCTTCTATTAAGAATCCTCTCTCAACATGAGTGAGCCTGCAGTCACTGAGGGCGGGACAATCAAATGCTCTGCCACAGAGGGAAGGTCTAAGCCCTTCTGGAGCCCTTTCCTCCGCTGTGTCTGAGGTGGTAGCGACCATGAGAAGAGTCTTCTGAACTACAAATGGACATTCAGATAATTCTGAAGTATGAATAATTAAAAAAAAAACTTTTCTTTGAAACAATTTGGAGATCATTTTGGCAGGAAAATCAAGATTATCCTGACTGACTCAAGCTACCAGGTTGAAGAATCAAAATCAACTGGCCACATGAAATGAATAGAAGTAGGAAGAAAAAAAAAAGCCATTAAGCCCAGTACTATGAAAGAACTTCTGACAAAAGATCTTCTATTAAGAATCCTCTCTCAACATGAGTGAGCCTGCAGTCACTGAGGGCGGGACAATCAAATGCTCTGCCACAGAGGGAAGGTCTAAGTACGTAAGAAGTAGTGGCAATCGTAATGGGATGATCTCTGCAACCCCTCTAGCCCAGGCGTGGGGTCAAACCTCGGCTAGCAAGGGCAGAAAGGGAGATGATACAAGGGCGGCTCCTTTACACGGAAGGGGTCATCAGCACTCAGCAGTCTCTCGCTTTCTTCCCAGTAACAACACCAAAGTAGAAAGAGTTTTAAAAAGGGAATCGAATTTTATCTTAATTTATTAATTTAAAAACATTTTAGGACCTATGAAATGGCTCAGTGAGAAAAAAACACCGAGTTTGACTCCTGGGACCCACATGGGAAGGAGAGAAACAATTCCCACAAGTTGTCCTCTGACCTCCATACATCCACCCCATTAATCAGTCAATTAACCAACCAACCAACCAACCAACCAACCAATGTGATTTTTAAAATTTAAACACTGTTTAGAGTTATTTTTAAATGTTTTTCTGTGTGTGCTTTGCAAAGCCAACGTCTGAGGAATAAGCCCACAACCATCACTATGAAGTTATTGTAGCAATACAGTTTTGTAAAAATGCTCATTGCTTTAGGTATTAATACTTCATATTAAATGGGTATTATCTTTCAGGAAACATTCTTTTTTTTAAAAGATTTAATTTTTATTATTTTTTAACAATTGTACATATTGTAGCATTTGCATGATGTTTTTGGTGTTTGTTTGTTTGTTTCTTCAGACAGGGTTTCTCTGTGTAGTCCTGGCTGTCCCAGAACTCATTCTGCAGACCAGGCTGGCTTTGAACTCAGATCCACCCGTCTACATCCTAAGTGCTTGGATTAAAGGCTTGTGCCATCACCGCCTGGCTCGTCTGAGTTTTTATTTAACTTGTAACCAAAGACTTAAAGCTGGGTACAAAAATAAATCCTCTTTGCAATACAGAACTCATTGTTCAGCCTGAGTTTTGATATGCATGATAAAGAATGTAGTAAAAATCTTTTTAAAACTTAAAAAATTGAAAACAGCATAGCCAACAATAATAAACACCATTTCTTTAAGTATTTGAAAATATTAACATCAAAGTGATTTCATTAAATTGAAATTGGTAGTGGTATTTTATGATATTTAGAATCTATCGTTAAGGTCACTGGTTTTTATGAATATTGATATTGCTATGGTTGGCTTTATAAACATATTTGTGTTGTAGATTAAGGTAATTTACAGGAAAAAATTTAGTATCTGAAATTGCTTTAAAACAATACATGGATGGAAGGGATAGAGGGTTTATGAAGTAAGATTGGTCAAAATCTAATGCTTGCTTAAGCTGATTGAAGAGTGTAATTAAATTTCATCAAGCTAATTTCTCTAAAAATTAAAAAAACTATGTGTGTGTGTGTGTGTGTGTGTGTGTGTGTGTGTGTAGGTAGGCAGATTTGCTGCCTGCCACTAGGCCACACCTCCAGCCTTGTGTGTGTCTAAGTATGCATTGTGCACACAAGTGACTGCCCCAGGTGCAGAAGAGCGGGAGGTACAGCAAGTGTGGGCAGCCTGGTGGGTGCAGGAGCCGAACTGGAGCAGTGTGCACTGTCCCAGCTCTCCAGCCCCTCAGAAAACACACTCATAGACAATCTCAGATCTTAAAGATAACTAGTACTAGGGGGAAGTCACTTAACACAGGGCAAAAATTATGCTGCAGAGGACTGGCAGATGGCTCAGTGGGTAAAGGCACTTCCCACACAAACCTGATGACCTGAGTTCAATCCTCATTTTATTTTGGAAAGAAAACCCAGAAAATCCTATTCTAAAAGTTGTCCCTGATTTCCACACACCCACACTACCGACACAATACTATTTTAAAATTTAAAGCAAACTGCAGGTAAGAAGGAAAACAGAAGCCACAGTTTGCTTCCTCTCTCCAGCAGTCCACTGTGCCATTCACAGACCCCTGCCTTAGGACATCAACTCCAGTGTTCGGCTGGGCCTGCTGCTGGGAGAGAGCCAGCGCTCTCCTGGGAAATGAGGCTGTTGAGAGTGCTCTTGGGCCCCTTTACACCAACTGGAGGTTGTCCCCTTGTGCTCAGGTACAGGAAAAGGGACAGGGAAGTGAGAGTGGAAGTCCCTGACAGCAGCTGGGCACAGAGAGTTACCCAGGAGGTCAGTTGAGGTGTAGATTGGGCAAGATGGGCACACCGTCAGACCGCTTCAGCAGCTATAATCTGTGTCCCAGAGTAGGAACTCAGAACAAGTAGCCACGCAATGCTCCTGCTCACAGATGTCACCTTCTGGGATAGAGGTGTGGGTTACTATAGAACAAACCTAGGCTTTGGCGCTTCAGACAAGTGTTCCATCACCAAGTTATGCCCCAGCCTACAAACCCTATTATTAAATGGCTACTCTTTACAAGATTTAATGTAAGCTATGAGTATGATGATCTCACGTGCTTGAGGAAGGGGTGAATCTCCTTCTGCCTCAGTGAAAAGTGATTCTACTTTGTGAGTAAGTCTCCAAGAACCCTATCTGGATTTTGGATACCCCAACTAAGTTTCCATCTGTGATTCCTTCCCTTTTTCTCTTAGGCTTATTATGTCTGGTGAGATGGCTCAGTGCCACTGAGCCTGGGGCAGCATTTGAGTATGGTCCCTGACTTCACATGGTGGAAGAGAAGAGACTGTCTGAAGTTGTCTTGTGACCTCCACACACACTCTAAGGTACACAAGGGCTTGCACTCAGTTTTGCGTACATGCATGGGCACACACACCCACACACGCAAATGAAGTGTACAATTTTGTTTTTAAAATAAGATTTATTATTGCACATGTGCACATGCCACAACATGAGTGCGAAGATGTGTGTTCTCCTATCTCTCTGAGGGCCCTGGAAGCACACCTCCCTCCCAACAAGCCTTCCAGGAGCTTGGTCTCACAGGCAACTCAAGGCGAAGATCAGTACATGTGTTACAGTGTGGGTCCTGGTGTACTGCCCTCCCTATGTGAGGCAGGCTAGGGTAGGAGGGAATCCGATTCCTCCTACTCCTGTACCACTCCTAAATGGACATTAAATGAAGACTAACCCTGAAAAGAAAGACCCTTAGCTACAAAGGGAATTTCAGGTTTCTACTTTAGGGTTTGAATCCAGGACAGGCTCTTGGGTAGCCCAGGCTGGTCTAGAATTTTACACAGTATAACCAAGGATGACCTGAGCCCTCACCTTTCTCCAACAGTGCAAAACTGCAGGTTTGCAGAGATGCTCCCAGGTGCCACGCTGGTTCCTAATGGCTGTGAACATCAAACTTACACCCAAGACTGACTCTCTGGCTCTTAAGCCTCAGGAAGAGATCACAGGCTCTCTAAATCCTGGTGCCTAGTTGGCAGTGTGGGACTGCCACATAACTGGCCAATAAAGCCTTGATGTTCTCTTGGGGGGAAGTCCCGCCCTCCTAGGATGAACAACACAAATGAGCTGTTGATGCTGTGGTTGGAAAGAGGTCCCTTCTGAAAATCTGTGATACAGCACAAGGGCAAATCCAGCTTGATGCATAACTTTGGCCAAATATTTGAATATTTCATGATATACTTTAAAACTCAAGTTATTCTTTTTGAAGAATCTGCTGGATTATTCATTTAGTGGTATGCGTCTGGTTGTTCACAGGCCATGATGTGCTTGTGCAAATCAGAAGACACCTGGGTGAATCAGCTCTCTCCTTCCACCATGTGGGTCTCAGAGACCAAGCCCACGTGGTAAGACCTGGCGGCAGGAGCCTGTGCCCACTGCGTATCATGCCGGCTGCTGTCATGTTCTTTTCCTTTGAGACAGGATCATGCTGTTGAGTTCTGGCTGGCCTACAATCCACAGCAACCATCCTGTCTCAGCCTCCAAAATGTGAGGATTAGAGATATGAGCTTCCATATTCAGGGCATTTATGATTTTCTAATCTAACCCTTAACACTATTCATCTTAAACTCTGCAAATTCAAAGAAGTATACAAGTAATATAATTTTACCTTGAAATTAAATTATAAGACTTTTTTGTTTGGTTGGTTTTTTGAGACAGGGTCTGTCTATATCCCAGGTTGTCCTGGAACCCAATGATCTCAAACCCACAGTAATCCTCCTGTCTCAGCATTCCAAATGAGAATACTGGCACATGCCACCATGCCCAGCTCAGCCCAAATTCTAAGAGTGATCAATTCATTAGTGGATGTTTTCACACAACAATAAAGATTGCTACCATGAAGTAACCCACCATCTTAGAAGCTCTCGTAACAGGGTCCGCTAATCTCATTTAACCATCTCAATGATCACGTGAGGTGATGATATTCATATTTTAAAGAAGTAAGACAAACAAAACTAGGTATAGTATCCTACACCTGCATTCCCAGCACTTGGAAGACAGGAGGCAGAAGAATCAGGAGCTCAAGGTCAGCCTCAGCTACACAGTAAGCTTTGAGCCCCATTTGGGCTAAAGAAGACTATGTGTGAACACCACTCTCCCACAAGATGAACAAATGATACATTTATCCAAGATCACAGAGAAAATCAACTCAAGAGCCAAGAATGAAAGCCCAATCTTCCAAAAGCTTTTACATATTACTACACTGTCTTTAAGACACACATGCTCACTCAATAACACTCACCAACCTAAACAGCTTCAGTGCCAAAATGACAAACATAAAAGAACTACCATCAATCTTGTACACACACACAATACTCTGTTCTGCCTTTTAAAAGGAGATAAATTCAAACACACCCTAACACAGATGGACTTGAAAACATTACAGCATGTGAAGCAAGCCAAGGACAAAACTATCAGTGTTATAAAGGTATAGGATACTCAAGATCACATGATCAATGTTCTATGATTTTACCTGGACAGGGGTATAGCATACTCAAGACCACATGATCAGTGTTCCATGATTTTACCTGGACAGGGGTACAGCATACTCAAGACCACAGGATCAATGTTCCATGATTTTACCTGGACAGGGGTACAGCATACTCAAGACCACATGATCAATGTTCCATGATTTTACCTAGACAGGGGTATAGCATACTCAAGACCACAGGATTCATGTTCTATGATTTTACCTGGACAGGGGTACAGCATACTTAAAAATCACATGAAACAGGACAGTGGATGCCAGGGATGGAGACAGGGAGGAATGAGGAATAACTGTTTAATGACTTTAAAGTTTTGCAAGTTGAAAAGTTCTGGAGATGAAAAAGGGTGACAACACATGGCACAATAATGTGAATATACTCAATGCCACTGAGCTAGTCACTAATGTGGGAAATTTTTAATATTTCCTTATTGTGTATATGCACAGACATACATGTATGTGCTATGGTGCACATTTGGAGGTCAGAGAACAACTTTTAGGATTGGCTCTCTCCTTCAGCAACGTTGATCTCAGGTCGCTGGGCTTGGCAGCAAGCACCTTTACCTGCTACGTAATCTCACTGGGCCCTTACTGGGAAACAGTTTTTAAATAAAGTAATTCTTAAAGAACTAAATGGTAAAGAAACAAACAATTACTATCTCCAGGCAGTGTTGGTGCATGCCTTTAATCCCAGCACTTAGGAGACAGAGGCAGGCGGATCTCTGTGAGTTTGAGACCAGCCTGGTCTACAGGGTGAGTTCTAGGACAGCCAGGGATATACAGAGAAACCTTGTGTTGAAATAGAAAGGGGGGTGGGGGTGGGGGGGAATTACTATCAAGAAAAATCCTAACTGCATAGGGGAGACAAAAAAGGAAACCAGGTATCATAATAGAGTATAACTAGGGGACAGACTATAAGCCAGTTTAAACAAAAATTAATTAAAGATAAGTATCTGTCAAGTGTGGTGGTGCACACCTTTAATCCCAGAACTTGGGAGGTGAGTTGAGGCCAGCATGTCTACAGAGTGAGTTCCAGGCCAACCAGGACTACATAGTGAGACCCTCAAAAACAAACAAACTACAACAGAAAGGTAAATACATGATAGAAATAATCAAACTTGAGGGGACACATATGAAAACGATGGCATAAAGGTGCCTCATTAAACCCCAGGAGACTTCCAAGAGGAGTGGCCCAGAGGTGAAATGAGCAAGTCAGTGCAAGGGAGCTGCTGCTGAGCCGAGTGCTGAGATCTATTACAAGTTTAGCAGGTCTGGGCTGCGGGGGTGAAGGGAAAAGGCTATCCATAGGTCCTAACAGCTACGTCAACACCGGCATCTGAATAGGTCAAAGCCAAGATATGAACAAAGCAAAGACTATTTTAAGCATGGCTGTGACAAGATCAAATTTGTATTTTAGAGAAACCAGCTATACATAGGTAAATCCATCTTCAATGAGAACTCCCCATTTAAAAACAATCTTAACATATTTTGAAACAGCATTAGTTGCAATATAAAAATGATATAACCTACTACTACTTATAATACAGGACAATTACTTTGGTAGCTTAAAATGTGACATATAAAACAATTTAAAGGCTATACAGAACTAATCAAAAGAAGGAATTAAGCTGGGCACTGTATGAATACTTATAATCCCAGCACTAGGGAGGAAAGACTACTTTGAGTACAAAAGTCAGTCTGGGCTACAGAGCTACCCAGGCTAGCCAGGGTAGCTAGCAAGATCCTACCTCTACACCCCTCCCCAAATATGAAATTATCTCTGCAAACTAAACTTAGCACCAATAATTCTAATAACACAACAGATATCTATCTCTATGGATTTTGTCTGCAATTACAAGGCAAATCTGTGATTAAGTTGTAACATATTATAAATGACCCAAAAACTGAACAATAGCATCCATGGTAGTATCCATACTAATCAGGCAGAGCTGTTATTGTTTGGAATTTTCTTGTTGTTCTGTATTACTGAGATGATACCAAGGTCTTAGGCATAGTCAACGTTTCTACTATCTTAACTACATTCCTAACAGAACACTTGAAGTTTGCATATCCAAAATGATTACTGGTAATGACACATTTTAAGTCTATAATAAAAAGGAACTGGGGCTGGGCGGTGGTGGCGCACGCCTTTAATCCCAGCACTCAGGAGGTAGAGCCAGATGGATCTCTGTGAGTTGGAGGCCAGCCTGGTCTACAGAGCGAGATCCAGGACAGGCACCAAAACTACAGAGAGAAATCCTGTCTTGAAGATGGAAAAAAAAAAATAAGGAACTGGGTCACACTAAGGAGAGTGCTAGTAAATGTAATATAGCTTAAATTCTGTTATTATTTAAGTAACTACTGTTTGATAACATTCATAAAGAACTGCATGTGGGGGCTGGAGAGGTGGTTTAGCCAGAGGAACTGGGTTATGATTTCCCATCTCGCTTTTCATAGATTTTGTTTTTGTGTGTATGTATCTGCGTGTGTGTGTGTGTGTGTGTGTGTGTGTGTGTGTGTGTGTGTGTGTGTGTGTGGTGTTTCTTGTGCTTTTTGTTATTTTGTTTTGTTTTTTTATTCTGGTTTATTTGGTTTTTTGTTAAGCTATTTGTTTTCTAAAAAGAGAGAGAGAGAAACTGGGATGGGGGAGACTGGGGATGATCTGGGGGAAGTGGGGATGATCTGGGAGGAGTTGGAGGGGAATGAGGATCCAGGAGGAGTTGGGGGAGGGGAACTGTAATCAGAATATATTGTATGAAAAAATTTACTTTCAATGAAAAAGAATGCAAAAACACTGCTGCCTAAGGCACGACTGCTGCACTGAAAACATCTGGAGGAGGCGGTGGCAGAGCAGCCTTCTCTAACTCTAAGAGAGACACCCATGTAGCTGGACAGACTATAAAGGAACATAACCTGTGACGACTGGTGGTGACACTTGAGTTGTCTGTCCTGTGACTGCTTTACTATTAATTGGTTTTGCAAAGATCAGCTTCGTGATCACTGGACCAGAGGTTGGAGTTCGAGGCTTCTTAGCGATCTGAAACATATAAATAACTATGAAGACATCTGTTTCCATAAAAATCTATGCAGTAAAAGTTAGACAAGATTCATACACAGTAGTACACGTAAAGTCAGGTCATTTAGCAAATTTATCTATGTATTAATGTATAAAACAATTTAAAACAAATCCATTCACCAAAATATTAGTATGATCATATCTGTAATCACATGTGTCCTAATACCTCTAGTTTCAGGATAAATCCCTAGTCTGTCTGAAACATGCAGATGGAGAAAACAATAGTAAAGTTTAATAATAATAATGTTTAATAGTGAAACACTATGCACAATGTTAGTTTTCCAAATAAGCTATCCAGTAACAAAAAGACAGAGTTCAAAACATACAATACAAACAGTGAAGTATTGCTGCACACATATGCATGGCTACATTCGCCTATGATCCAAGGTGCAAATTATTATATATTACAGATTTGCAACTACATTTTCTTTCTTTTCACTTTCTCTCTTTTTCACTTGTTTTGTTTTTGAGATAGGATCTCATTCAGCAGCTCAGGCTGGCCTGGAGCTCACTATGTAGCCCAGGTTCACCTTGAACTCATGGCAATCTCCCTGCCTCAGCCTCCAAGTACTGAGATTACAGGCATACATCTCCATGCCTAGCAAACTTTCAGCTACACACACACACACACACACATACACACACACACACACACACACACACACACACACACACACACACACACCAAGAGTAAAGGAAGAACTGAACCAGTTGAAGCCAATTACAAAGAGACATGTTTAGTAGAACAAAGATTTGTAAAAGGCTCTGAAACGTATTTACTAAAATAGTACTTATTGTACTTTAAACTCCTTGAAGGGACTATCCATACATTATTTATAACTCATATCCAACATGAAGTTAAAATATGGGCACATTGTTGACCTGAACTAAAACTTGCCACAAGTCAAAGAAGACAGAGGTACCAGTGTGGTACAGTTATTTTTTGTTCATTTTTTGAGACAGGGTCATTCTCATGAAGCTAATTAAGAAGACTAGGCTAACTTCAAATTCCTAAGGTGCGAGCCACTATACTCAAGATCAATGTTTTTACAGTGAAATTGTCACAAAACTCAAGGACATAGCTGTTAGAAGGAAGGAGCAGAAACTTACCTGGCATAAAACTCAAAGTTTAGTGTGTGAAGAACATTAAATACTTTACCTTTTGGCAGATATGCGTAATGAGACCCTAAAGTATTATTTATTACTGGAGATGACTCAAATGAATAAACATGACCAACATGAATAACAGCAACCTATCAGAAATAATATTGATCACAGTTACATATCAGCTCCATGTGCTCAGATTACATCAGCATGCCATCTTACACTCACAATGTTACTTTCTTACACTCAGAACCTATTAGAGACACAAGTACCTCTGACAGAAAATCATATTTTCAAAAAAAGGAAATCCATTAGTGTATAACAATAGACACAGCTTGCAAGCCATGACATATCTGAGTAAATTAATTGTACTTTAGAAAGTTGATGCCATCCAAAGACATGAAGGGAAGCACTCCTCAAGTCTTTACTAAGGCCCTAAAGCAAAATGGAATCTCACATATACACACAGTACTGGTGACCACAGAGGTAGACAGTCTTAGAAACACATAACCTTAGCTATTAAAAGTAAGACTTGAAAGTACTTCCTCCTTTCCTGGCCTTCACCATTATATGTTATATGCTTACCAAACAGGAAAAAGTCTAAACAATGGAACCAAAAGCAAGTTAATTATTCAAACAAACGATCTCATCTTGCTCTTATGGCTGTATTCCTTTAGTGGAGCACGGCTCAAAATAACAATTCCCAGATCCATTAAGGAACCATAATTAGTTTTTGAAACAAATCCTCACATTTCCTAGGCTGGCCTTGAACTCCTTATCCTTCTGCATCTACCTCCAAGCATGGGGATTACAGACATGAGCCACCACACCTGGCTTTATGTTGCGTATATGGAATGCAGGGCTTTATGCATGCTCTTGAAAATGACTCTTTATTCAAGTTTTATTTTACTTACACTTTTGTTCTAGGGTAGCTTAGGAATCAAAGTGAAAAAGGGATGATTCCTGGCCTAGGTTCATTTGGAGAGTGCTTGCCTGGCATGCACAAAGCTCATCAGTGGTTTAGAGTACTTACTACTCTTGCAGAGGACCTAGGTTCCATTCCCAGCACCCTCATGAAGGCTCACAACTATCTGTAAGTCCAGTTTCAAAAGATCTGGTGCCTTTTGGGATTTATGGGAACTAGGTACACACATGGTATACATACATACATACACACACATACATACACACATACATACACACATACATACAAACATACATGCATACATATTCAAGGAAAACATTCATTCACATAAATTTAAACAAAAAGACAACCTTAAATTTTTTTAAAGAATTATTTTCAATAAATTTATGGAATTAGCAAATTAAGATAAAAATGAGGCCGGGCGGTGGTGGCGTATGCCTGTAATCCCAGCACTCGGGAGGCAGAGGCAGGTGGATCCTGTGAGTTTGAGGCCAGCCTGGTCTACAGAGCGAGATCCAGGACAGGCTCCAAAGCTATAGAGAAACCCTGTCTCGAAAAACCAAGAAAAAAAAAAAATTTACAAATAAGGTAGAAAAGAAAGCCAATATCTCATGCAAATACCTTTCAGCATCATGCTGGACACATTCAGGAGGGGCTATGCTGACTGCTCTCTGCTTACTGCTCTCACATAGTAGGCACTGCAGATCCAGGACAACGGTTAGCTATCTGGAATTAAGTATGACTACACACCTACCATCACCCTGCCACAGCTACTACCTTCATTGATTCTGAACATGGGTCTCCTTCATTCTTGCCTGCTGCTCACACTCAACAACCTCAGTACCCACAGCAAACTTAAAATGATGCTGTGGACATTCTGGGGAAAAAATCAGATTTGTATACATATATGCCTCGAAACAACCTCATTATTATGGGGCCTAATGTAGAAAACTATAAATGTGTAGTTACTTATTTTTTTGAAGTGTTTTAGGGGTTCATAAGTTGCTTCTGAGTTAGAAAGATGTGAGCTACCTAAAATCAACTGGATACTTAGAAAATATTCTAAATAGGTTTCCTTGGTTTTTTAAAATTATTTATTTAATTAATTTACTTATGTTTTGGTTTATGGTCCTCCTAGCTGTCCTGGAACTCATTATGTAGACCAGCCTGTCCTCAAACTCACAGAGATCCACCTTTTTCTACATCCTTAGTGCTGGGATTAAGACATGCTCCACCATGCTCGGCTCTATTATATGCTCTTTTAAAAAAATAAAGCTTTTAAAACAAATGGAATCTGGTTTTATAAAACCAACGACAATAAAACAAGTGAGTATTAGGCCGGAGTCTTTTATTGTCAATACTTAGAAAACTAAAGTAAGAAATTAGTGGATAGAAATAAATCAGTTATTGAAACAGTATCTGTACACTGATTTCTATCATTAGTTCTTTGAGATCATGATGATCCACACCTCCAAAGCCAATCAAAACAGGTTTCAACACTAAGGACAGGATACTTCACAGTGACAGGCTAGGCTATCTCATTCAAGAGTGCCTCAGCAAAATAGATAGATTACAGCGAGAGGTAATGACGAAGAAGCAGGGGCATCAACTATTAAACAGCAGCAGAAAGGACACAGCAAGCTTTCTCGAGAGAAAGGGCTCGAGAAAGCTTAAGCTTCTGAATGCACAGATCCTGAGAAGTCAAGTTTCTAAGCTTTCCCCACACAGTAACCAAAAGGTGAATGTCAGCGTCAGCTACAAGGAAGCGCCTCTGTCAATTCTCCTGACACTCTTTCCCGTGACATTGCTTCACTCATGCCTTCTGGTTTCTTTTCTCTTTTTTTTTTTATTTTTTTGCTTTTTCAAGACAGGGTTTCTCTGTGTAGTCCTGGCTGTCCTGGGAACTCTCTCTGTAGACCAGGCTGGCCTTGAACTCAGAGATGCACCTGCCTCTGCTGGGATTAAAGGTGGGAGCCACAACAACGGACTGCCTTCTGGTTTCTTTTAAAAGACAACTCTTCCAAACATGGAATGTACTGCGGTCTCCTTCTTCTAAGAGAATCACTGTATTTCTAAGCACTCTGAAGGTAGCATAAAGAGTCTTTTTTTGGCCATTAAAAAAAAACAAACTGAAAAACATTTACTGTATGACCTGGTAATCTACTATTTGAGGGCACTAGTCATACTATTAAGTACCATTCTGAAGGATCCTCAATGTTTGGAGAACTGTGTAATACTATATTGCTTTGTTTTGTTTTGTTAAATGATCAAGTAGCCATCTTTTTTTTTTTTTTTTTTTTTTTTTTTTGGTTTTTTCGAGACAGGGTTTCTCTGTGTAGCTTTGCGCCTTTCCTGGAACTCGCTTTGGAGACCAGGCTGGCCTCGAACTCACAGAGATCCGCCTGGCTCTGCCTCCCGAGTGCTGGGATTAAAGGCGTGCGCCACCACCGCCCGGCTCAAGTAGCCATCTTAAGCTGAGGTTAAAAACTTCAGAGAGCAAGCTATCCACAGCTCCACAGCCAGTAGAACAGCACGGGGATGACTCAGCCCTGTGCTCCGCTCTATTGTATCCACTGTCTTCCTCAGACTGCAAACATCAACAATGGTGATGCACAGTAACCCCCAGTAAGAGACAAACGCTGCAAGCATCGGCTATTGCTGCCTCCGAGGGTTCTCGGGACAGCCAAGCTGTCCTAGCCTTTAGTCATGAACTAACCAAGAAAAAAGAAAGATTGATTACTTGATGGCTTTGCAGTAAGTTGGGCACCTTTATGCCAGCAAAATAATACCCCTGTAGCCAAACTACCACTATCTATAAAATGCTTGAAAGGCTATAAATAAACAATTTGGAAATTTAACCAAAATTTAGTTTGCTGTAAGTTTTCTGGCAAAAAATTTCATGAGCATTAGACATATCAAATTTAAAAACAAAACAAATCCACACAATTACTTTAAAACATTCAAAAGAATTCATTAAAAGTTATACAATTAACAACCCTATAAACACAACTTTGAGTCAGTTTAATTTTTTAACATGCACTTTAAGTAACAGGCCCCCTTTTTGTTTTTACCTGCACTGTTTTTAACTGTTGGGTCTGAAACACAGAGGGCTGAGGTGTAGTATTAACCAGTTGACTTCCTGGGGTCAGTGCCGAGACACCAATGACAGGTTTCACCTCTGGCCTCCCTCCAATGGTGACTACTTTAATTTGCTGCGGTGGTAACTTAGCGTCTCCTGGCTGGGCCTGAGCTGTAACTTTCTGAGCCTGGGGTAGTTGGCTATGGGGTAGTGCTAAAACAATTGGTGAACCAGACTTGCCCAAAGTTGTTAAAATTAACTTCTGTCCATCTGGTTTAAGGGTCTGATTGCCAAGTTTAAGATCAGATGTCTGTGATACTTTGTTTAAAATAATCTGATTGGCTGATATAGTCACAGGAGTCTGAGCACCAAGTTTTTGAAGGCCACTTGGAAATGCTGGTTTCACTGTGGTATTAGAATCTGCTTTAGTAACTGTGGTATTCACTGCAACTTGGTTAGTGTGGTTACTGTACACTGTGATTGGTTCCGTGGAAATGGGCGTGGCTGTAGAGTCACCAGTAGAATTTATGTTGACAATTTCTTCCAGTTCTGTCTCCATGGGAATTGGGGATGACACAATTACAGCCTCAATACTATCCTCATCCACTAAAGTTATGGCAGTGTCCATTATCTCCTCTGGAAGCAAACTATTCACCTCGGCCGGCACCACCTCCATGATCGCTCTGCTTCTAGGAAGATGCCCAGGTGCTGGAAGAAAAGGGGAAAATCGTTACCAGGTTTTAAGCAGATTTTTAAAAATACATTCAAGAAAAATGTAAATGACAAAACCAACAGTGCTAAAATTGGCAAATAATTAAATGAAGGACATTCCTGATAATTATCTAGATTTCACCATTTTCACAAATCATAGCTTTTAAGAATCTAAGATATGGAAATATCTTTAAATCTTCAATGATCTGTCTGGGTCCTATACATGTATAGCAATACCCTGTTTATAAACATCCATTAAATGTCAAAGGAGTTTCTAGATGATTCTACTTCATGAATGGAGATCAAATGGACTACGTGGCCTAAGTCTAATCAATTAGCTTCATACTAAGAGAACTTTTCTTTGGAAAGATTTTCCAGTCCTCTGACATTGAAAGTGTCAAAGGGGAACTATTTAAGAATTTACAAGTCTAGAGAGCTGACTCAGCAATTAAGAGCAACTGTCGCTCTTGCAGAGGGCAGTGTTCAGTTTCCAGCACTCACGTAGTGGCTCACAACATTCTAGAACTCCAATTGCTGATGATCCAAGGCCCTCTTCTGACTTCCACAGGCACAAAGCACACACACGCAGGTAACATACATACATGCAGGTAACACATACATATAAAATAAAAATAAATAAATATAAAAAAGAAAAAGAATATATAGCCAGTCCCATTAATGGGGAAAAAAAAAACCAAGTCCAGATTATGGACAAATCAGCTGTAATGCTTTTAGCTAAAAATCAGAACTTTCAAAAACTGAGAGAATTCAGGTATCAACATGTATTAAAGACAACCCAGTTTATCTAGATAGACTAGACAGCAGGAAGTGTTTGCTCAGAGAACTTCAACACCCTTAGAACCCAATCAGCAACTCTTCCTCTTCCTCTGGGAGGCATGAGGTCATCTCACCGCCTGGAGCAGGCTGTCTTAACCCTTCAGCCTCCTGGGTGCTAGCACCACAGGTGGCATGACCACACTCACCTTATTTTCTTTAAAATATACAACAAGCATTGAAAACTTAAGAGTAGCAAACACAGCTGGCGTGGATCATGCCTGTAACCTCAGCCCTGAGAAGCTGAGGGAGAAGGACCGCAGCAAGGTCTGGGGGCAGCACAGTTGGGGCAGCCTGTGTTACACAAAAGAAGACTAACACATACAAACAGCAAACTACTTAGTAGCTGTGGCAAATATTGCTGCTGCCAAAATAAGCTATCAGTAGAGAGATCTTATTACGGCAAAAATGGCGTAATTTTCCTCCCCAAACCTGATGTGTGTGTGTGTAGCATTACCATCCCTATTTTACAGATTAAAAAAAAAAAAAGGAGAAAGGTTAAAAAAAATTGCCCAAGGCAACTAGTGAATGTTAGATACAAGACTCAAACTCTGGTTTGTATGGTTCCAAAGTTAGTCATTTTAATTGAAAAATTATAATATCATAAACATTGTACCACTGGTGTTTTTAAATGAAGACTGAAATAAGCCTAATCCTTCACAATTAACTCCCTGTCCTGAAAGCCCACACTACATAAGTGCTGTCTATCAGAAAAGCTTTGCATTTTTGCTCATACTAGAACTTCATGTACAGGGAATCGTGTATAGATGTTCCTCAGCATACGATGCTGTTCCAGAAAAACTATCATAAAATGCTAAGTCAAATATATACTACACCTATCAAACCACTAGATAGCAGAGTATCAGATCCCTTGGAGGGAATTACAGGCTGTTGTGGACCACCCCATACTGGTGTTGGAATGAACTCTAGTTCTCTGGAAGAACAATAGGCACTCTTAACTTTAAATGCTGAGCCCTTTTTCCAGCTCCACCTTAGCATGTTGGAAAGCATGCTAATCTGTGGGTAAAGCTCAATCTGTGGGTCCAGACCCCTTCAGAGTCATCGAACAGCCCTTTCTCACCGTTGTCTCGAATCCTTCATATCAGATATTTACATTACTATTCATAACAGAAGCAAAATTACAGTCATGAAGTAGCAACAAAAATAATTTTATGGTTGGAGTCACCATAACATGAGGAACTGAATTAAAGGGGCACAGCATGAGGAAGGTTGAGAACCACTGTTGTAAAGGGGAAAAAACCCAACACAGTTGAACTACTGTAAGTCGGGGCCCTTGTGTGCTCGATCCCTGTGACACACGGAGTTGTATAGTGGGCCTTTCCTTGCAACATGATTTTGAGATTGATCTTTACTGTTGCACTCATTACTAGTTCGCTTCCTTTCAACTGTTAAATAATACTCTACTGCACAGATCTCCCACCCTTTGTATATCCATCCACTTAACACTGGGCATCGGAACTTTCTCAGTTTGAAACTGTTGTGGACAACCCTGCTGTAAACATTAATTAAGTTCAAGGTTTGATGGCTGCAACTTTCCATTTCTTTTGAATAAATATCTAAATAGAGAATTGCTAAGATTTTGTATTTTAAAAGCTTATTTACCTTTATGTGTATGCATGTTCTGCCTACATATGTGTAATTGCATCATGTACATAAGTGCTGTGGAGGCCAGAAGACAATGTTGGAGACAGTTGTGAGCAACACATGGGTGCTGGGAACTGAGTCCACGTGCTCTGCAAGAGCAGCCAGTGGCTCTGAACTACTGAACCATCGCTCCAGCCACACTGAGGCAGGGGTGGGGGCTTGTTTTCTGAGACATGAGAATGCAGTTCAGGTTAGCTTACATTCTGAAGCCAAGGATGACCTTGAACTTCTTTCTAATCCTCCTGCCTCCATCTCTTAAATTTTAGGATTACAGGTTTGAGCCACCATGTTGGTTTGTGTGGTGCTGGACATCACACCAGGGCTTCATGAAGGCTAGGAAAGCATTCTAGTCAGTTATTTTCAAAGCCTATATTTTTTTTTTTTTTTTAAAAAAAAAGGCTGAGTTTTTGAGAAAGGTTCAAATGTAGGCAAGGGAGGCCTTGAACTCCCTTTGTAGACAAGAATGACCTTGAATTTCGAATCTTGCCTCTACCTCCCAAGTACTGGGATTCCAAGCATGTGCTTCTTCGCCTGGATTTATGTGGTTCTAGGGACTAGCTCTAGGGCAAGCACTCTGTCCTGAGCTACTTTACCAGCCCTTGGGTTATAGTTCATTAGGCATGAAATTTGGCTATGTTATTTATATATCCACTAGCCTCCCAAATGCTGGGCTTGAAGTGTGGGCTACCACATCAGGCCAACCTCCTCCGTATTTTTAAACAATGTACTGAGACTATTCTATCTTCTTTTAAAGAATAGAACCAGGGATTGAACACAGGAACTTGCACAGGCTACACAAGAGCTATTATCACAGAGTTACAGCTCCAATCTTTTCTGCATGTTTTCCTAAAGTGTTGTTTCCTGTTTCTATAGGTGAGAATTCAGTAATTGGAAATCATCACATTAAATGAGTCAATCAGAAAAAGAAAGATATTTCTTGCAAATGAGGAATCTAGTTTTTTTTCTGTGCTTGCCTTGTATATACTCTACCACTGACAACTATACTAATAATGCTGACCATCTTTTCACCTGCAAATTGTGTGTGTGTGTGTGTGTGTGTGTGTGTGTGTGTGTGTGTGTGTGTGTGAGAGAGAGAGAGAGAGAGAGAGAGAGAGAGAGAGAGAGAGAGAGAGAGAGAGAGCGCTCGAGAGAGCGAGCACTTTGTTAATAGCTGGGACATGGTAGCACATGCTTGTAATTTCAGCAACACCAGCCTTAAGAACTATTTTGGGGAGATGCTAGCTTTTAGGATTCTTATTGAGCTGAGTGAGTTCTTTACATATGCTGGAAAATCATCAGTCACAATAATTTGTAGCTGAAAGTAGTTACTAGGGTTTGCAGACTTTGGGGAAAGTGGAGAAGTGAGGCATGGTACACGAACTGGGTACTGAAACACAGCCAGAGCCATAAACACTCTTGAGTATTGAACACAGCTCCATGAACACTGACAGGTTTACAGGCATTCACAGTACAGGCTCACAAAATACCAACACCAATGGCATATGTTTCAGTGAAAATCCTAACCATACATGACAAAGAGCCCCACCCACAGCCACAACCACACACAACAGAGGGCTCCACCCACAGCTACAGTCTCTACCACACACAACAGAGGGCCCCATCCACAGCCACACAGTCTCTATCACACACAAAGGGCCCCACCCACAGCCACACAGGCTCTCCATTATCCTACCATGACCTAGATGCTCTACCCCTACTGAATGAGGTAATCGGAGTGCCTGCATCCAACAGAACCATAAAAGTTTGACTCTTTACTCTCACTAGGTATGTATTCAAAAGAAATGGAAAGTCGCAGCCATCAAACCTTGAACTTAATTAATGTTTACAGCAGGGTTATCCACAACAGTTTCAAACTGAGAAAGTTCCGATGCCCAGTGTTAAGTGGATGGATATACAAAGGGTGGGAGATCTGTGCAGTAGAGTATTATTTAACAGTTGAAAGGAAGAGAATTAGTAATGAGTGCAACAGTAAAGATCAATCTCAAAATCATGTTGCAAGGAAAGGCCCACTATACAACTCCGTGTGTCACAGGGATCGAGCACACAAGGGCCCTGACTTACATTAGTTCAACTGTGTTGGTTTTTTTTTTTTCTCTTCTTTACAATGTACTTTAAAATGGGTCGGAGACACATAGGGATGGACTTTGGTCTTTCTTAAGGACAGGGACACCTCATCCCAACCTTCATCCACCTCTTTCCTTCAGATCAGGATATAGATGGAGCTTGGGACTCCACATTTATAAGCAAAGTTGGCATTTCTTTCAATCCTAAGAACTCACTCTTGCAGCCCAACCAAACTCCTGTGGTTTTCAATCAACACAAAGCTCCATGTCCTTGTTGCCACCTGCCAAAGTCCCCACACAACAAGTTTTGAAGGCTCCTTAACTTACAAGGAGTTGAATGTGTACAACAACTAAAGTGTCATTCTGTGGGCTTACAATCCTCAGCTAGGGGCATGGAGTTGAGTGTGTACAGTG